CCTCATAATTAGTCCAAATTCCTACTATGGGGTGAAGGCGGTTCATGATCGTTCCAACATTTATTTGATTTCTAAGACACTATGGTGGTAAATTTTGATGGTTTATCATGCACAAACCATCGAAACAAGTAGCTATTCTTATGTTTCACCATCATAAATCAATCCGAATTCCTACATTGGGGAGATGGTTGCTTATGTTGGTTACCATCATAAAATATAATGGTCCATCATGGAATTATTGATGGTTAATGTTGGTTGACTATGTTGGTTGATCAATGGAAAACCATAAATTTTTTTTGCTAGGCCATTGTAAAAACAACTGTTGACTTTTTAAAGAAAATAATGTTTTAATAAAAGAGTGATTTATGCAAATGTAAAAATGATTATTTTTTAAAATAAGAAGTCGTTTTGTTAAATAGCTATATCGATTTTCTCATTTCGAGCTGTATCCAGATTAAAAAACTTACAGACGATATTTGAATCGACCCATATAAGGACACCGTTAAGAATCTTCTGTCGGCCATCTTTTTAGAAGGGAAATCTTCTCTACTACAGGATTTTAATTTTTATGACAACAAAAAACAATATTTTTTCAACAATTTAGAAATTGAAAGTTCTCATTGAAAAAAAGTAATTTGAAGAAAATACTCTTATAACATAAATTGACGATTTCTTCGTCTTTTACTTATTTAAGTCTAAGGTGGAGAATTTTCCTTCCCATTCAGTTGAAATTTTGTAATAATTAAGAAAGTGAGTTTCTTTCTTCGATACTATCGTCATAAATATTTTTACACGTTTTTAAATTTAGTTAATGATTCTTAAGCAAAACTTCCTATTTCGAAACATATTTTGAAATTCCCTTTTTATCGATATTTAAGGCTTAGTAGAGACTTTACATCAAGCTATAACCTAACAAAAAACTAAATAAAATTACATCATTTTTCGAAACATGATTGATAAACGAAAATCGATAAAATATTGCATTACACACAGTTGTCTTTTTTTAAAAAATGACATTAATAAGACCCACTCAACAAAAACGAAACAAAAGAAATCAGTGATTTTGTTAACTAAGTTAATTAAATGTAAAGTAAATATCCGATTTCATGAACTCCGAAAGAAATATTCAAAATCAACTTGACTTTTTCTCTCTAATCATTAAATATTTATGAAATGTTTTTGTTGACTATGAATTTATCACCGGCGTTGAAAAACCATCGGAGAAGCATCGATAAGTTTTGTCCTTTTAATTTAGATTAGAAATCTGGGAAATTCTTGGTTCAAGCATAAGAATAAACTCCTTAGTGAAACAAACCCGCGTTTGCGTTGCATCGAGAGGAAAACTACGATGGAGGATTGTTGTTGTTGTTCATTTACGTCATACTAAAACTGCACAATGGGCTATTGGCGACGGCCTGGGAAACACTCCTGAAGATGACCCGAAGACACGCCATCACCATTTTAATCCTCTGCAGAGGGGGCGGCACCCCCCTCTTTGGTAGCCCAACGACCTGCACGCGAAGTCGAGCACTTTACGGTGGAACAGTTTAACGAGGACCAATACCGCACACCCTCGGTCCCTACGCAGACTGATACGAGTGGTCACCCACCGCACCTCAGCCAGTGATGCTTGACTTCGGTGATCTGCAGAGAACCGTGTCTTAACGATCAGTCCACTGCGGGACTTCTTAATTTGAATAGTCGACTTTATAATCTAACGTTGAATTACGTTACGCGAAATAACTTTTTACCATTTTGAAAAAACCATTTTTAGTTCAATTTTCAGAGCATTAAAGTTAGCATTAAAAGCATTAAAGTTAGCATTAAAAGCATTTAGCATGAAACTAAGCAAAGCATTAAAAGCAATTGAAAAGAGGAGGCTTAATAAGAAAGAAAGAACATGCATTGATCAATTAACTTTTACAAATGGTGGGATCCCGGTTGAGAGAGGGTGGTTGGGGGTGGGGGTGGTGATGGATGTTCCAATCCCGGAATGAAGAGAGACGGGAGAGCCTTGTCTCCGGATTGAATCTTTTGTAGAACAGAGATCTCCGAACAAAAAGAGAGAGATAAAAGGGGAGGTGTTGTTCCTTTCATTCCTTACAGGACACGGACTACTCAACTCCAGGAATTAGAAATCGTGTAACGAAACTGATTAATATTTGCGTCAATGAAGCGGTCACGTGATTAAAAAAAAAAGAGAACTCATTCTATACTTTCCCGAAAGCTCCTTTTGCTGCGAAGATGCGATTAAGTTGAAATGGTAGTACCAAAGGGGTGTTTTTGAAATAGCACCGCTTTTGCAACTACTCTTATACATTTCGTGACATTTTATTTCTTTATAATTTTCACGGCAGCCAAAATGACGAAACAGTTGCGATAAGTTTAGAGTTTTCAAAGGTAAGTAAAATCGTTGTTTTCACCTGAGTGGAAAAACGCAGCAAAATGAACAATATTATTAGAAAAGTCGAATAAATTTTTAAATACTTGATTGTTTTCAATCAAACAAGGTGTTGTTGTTGTTGTTGTAGTTCATTTACGTTGCGCGAGAGCTGCACAATGGGCTGTTGGCGACGGTCTGGGAAACATCCCTGAGGATGATCCGAAGACATGCCATCACAATTTTGATCCTCTGCAGGAGGGGATGCCCCCCCCCGCTTCGGTAGTCCGACGACCTGCACGCGAAGTCGAGCACTTGACGGTAGAACAGTTTAACGAGGTAGAACAGTTTAATACCGCACACCCTAGGTCCTTACGCAGACTAATCCAAGTGGTCACCCACCCGCACACTGACCTCAGCCAGTGATGCGTGATTTCGGTGATGTTCTGGGAACCGTGCCTTAACGATCAGTCCATTGCGGGACCCATCAAACTAGATATTATATAAACTGAAAGTTTCACTTTCGAGATGTTTTTGCCTTGCATAAGAAGAGCTTTGAAAAAAGTCTTCAAAATGTTTCTTATAACCATATTTAATATTTTTACTGACTGCATAGTTTGTAAAATATATTTCAGAATTATATGAAGTGACTCTGTCATTCATCTTATGTCAATACCAAATCGGTACATTATGCAGCATAATTTGTAACGCTCAGTGTCAATTTTAGACAACTGTCGATGAGAAAAATCCTTGGAATATCAAAAACTCGAACTATTCCATTATTTTGAGAAAAGAATGATGATTTTGTCAGACCCAGGGGCAAATTTTTAAGACACGTAAATTTTTGAAAATTAAACGAATAATCGTTTCATGACTCAATTTTCTTTAGTTCCTTTGGTTTCACTTTCGAGATGGTTTTGTCTTGCTGAATAAGAGCTTTGAAAAAAAGTCTTCAAAATGTTTCTTAGAACAATATTTAATTGTCTAAATAAATGGGTAAATAAAAATTTTCTTCGTTTCTATGTTTTGAGTTTACAGATTCATAAGAAACTTCTATTTTATGAGTGATTTGTTTTGATAGTAATTTACTGACTATTAAAAATGTCTTCATTATTCTCTATCTTTATATAAATTTGTTCTTAAATGTCGGGAACTTTTGGTCTATTTCCTATTAGCCTCAGAATTGCTCTTATAGTTACCCTGTAGGCCTTAAGCCATGGCGGTGAAGTAGTGTCGCCCACGTTATACAACCACAAACCCGTATATAGGGTGGGTTAAATTCACGCAATCACACACCCATTGTAAGTTTAGTAATCTTCATGACTTGTAATTACATGATAACTTTGTTTAGATTAATCGGTTGGTGGAGCTTCGCTCTAAATACCGAACTCACACCAATATTCAGCACACTACCACACAAAGTCCCGCAGTGGACTGATCGTTAAGATACGGCTCCCAGCAGATCACCGAAGTCAAGCAGCACTGGCTGCCGTCAGAGTGCAGGTGGGTGACCACTTGGATCAGTCTGCGTAAGGACCGAGGGTTAGCGGTATGGGTCCTCGTTAAACTGTTCTACCGTATAGTGCTCGACTTCGCGTGCAGGTCGTCGGGCTACCGAAGCGGGGGAGCCATCCCCTCCTGCAGAGGATCAAAATTGTGATGGCATGTCTTCGGATCTTCCTGAGGGATGTTTCTCAGACCGTCGCCAATAGCCCATTGTGCAGTTCTAGTGCGACGTAAATGAACAACAACAATCACACAAAAGAAAGGATATAGAACATAGAGAAAGGAAAAGATTTGGTGGGATTCGAACCAGCAACCACTGACCCCGTAACCCAGTACAGTAAACACAATACCAGTGACCGGCATCTTTATAGACAAACACGGTTTATTTTGATAAATTTTAACTCTCTTTTGTTTGTAACTCTATTTGTTGTTTTTTGTTGTAACTCTCTTTGTAGTTTGAGCTGCTCTTTTGTTGTTGTTGTTGTTGTTAATTTACGTCGCACTAGAGCTGCACAATGGGCTATTGGCGACGGTCTGGGAAACATCCCGGAGGATGATCCGAAGACATGCCATCACAATTTTGATCCTCTGCGGAGGGGATGGCACCCCCGCTTCGGTAGCCCGACGACCTGCGCGCGAAGTCGAGCACTTTACGGTAGCACAGTTTAACGAGGACCAATACCGCACACCCTCGGTCCCTACGCAGACTGATCCAAGTGGTCACCCACCCGCACACTGACCGTAGCCAGTGATGCTTGACTTCGGTGATCTGCTGGGAACCGTGTCTTAACGATCAGTCCACTGCGGGACTGCTGCTCTTTTGAAAAGTTCCTTTAATAAGGTAAGGAAACGTTAAAAAAAAACATAGTTTTCTAGAATTTTTTTCCGTTAAAAAATCAATTGAACAGCATTGTCAAATAATTATGTATCAAGAATTAACGTTTATAGGTGTTTCGCTTGAGTAGAAATAAGAGTTTCTAAGAAGTTTGGAATAGATAAAAATGTTAATGCGAAAATAGTTCCAATTCATTCTGAACAGAAAATAAAATATTTTGAATGTGTGCAGAGAAACTTAGTTTTACTTCTCAAACACCAGTATGTCACATAGTATGTATCCGAGAGAAATGATGAATAATTTACCACCATTTTTAATGGCTTGTATTCGATAAATTTCGTATCGACTTTTTTTCCCTGCAATCCGCGCTTTTTGGGTAAAAAGATTTAAATGTGATGTGACTATTTCGGCACGTGAAACTCTTGGAAGAAAAGTGTGGAATCGTTATAGAAAAAAAATGCGAAAAAAAAATTGATAGCTACCCTTCAAGCTGAGATTTAATGCGACTATTAAAACATCGGAAGATGCTAAACTAACGAGCAATAAATGCGAATACTCAGTTTTTAGATGACTATTAAAATGTAGAACGATTGGAGAATGAAGTAAAAAAAATCTTTTTACGTTCTGAAAAGGTATGAAATCATTTTTAAAATTTATTAATTTAAAAATATTAGTTTTGATAAGGAATAAATTTTTTTTGTGTAGGAATTTAAAGCAGAAATTGAAGTTCATACTATGTAAATAACACCTTTTTTTTCTTAAAATTATGCAAAAGGCCATTTTTAAGACATATCCGATGAAAACGACTAAATAATTGTTATTAAAAAAAAAGGAAGATTTTTTTTGAAAATATGTTATTAGTTCTTGTAATATAAGTACTTTCGTAGAAATCGCGAAATAAAACTAACTTTCTTTGATTCCAACCGACAAAAATATTTTTCAATAGATGACCAAAATGGATTCAGTCTCCAGAAAGCAAAAATAAATTCTTTTTTTCCTATTTTTTCGTTCATAGAATAGTTTCCAAGTAGTGGACATTCAGAAATAAGGCTTTTTTTCCAAATTTTACAATTATTTGACTGATATAGTTCAAATTTCGAATTTTGCCATTTGAAATTACAAAGTTTAAAATGTCTCACAGGTTAAAATTTTTTTGATCATTATTAAACAAAATAAAAAGTTATAAGTAATTATTACAAATTCTGTATGAACTGGAATCATTTTTGAATAAACAAGTTTTATTATTGTGTGCAGATAACAATAAAGGGCAAAAGTTAGAAACAGAATTGATTCGTTGGCTGTTTTGGTCTCGAGCATGAAAACACATTAAACTCTGAACTATTCAAACATTTTTATTAGAAAAATTGCATGTTTTAAATGTTTCATAATTATTTTAATTTAGTGATTTTTAAAGAATTTAATTATATTTATTTAATAATGTTTGATTTACATTAAATTTAAAACCAAATTTCCTTACGTGATTGCCAGGGACTTTTCGAATTGGACATGCCAACTATTATATCAATCTAGATAAAAGGAATTTTTTAAATGTAAATATCTCTTATACATAGGCTCATTTAAGTTCACTGGTTTTGCGTGGAATTTAATTATACTTGTCTGATAATAGCTGCTTTTAATAAAATTTCTACAAATATAATCCATTTCATTTCTAGATCAGTAAATATAATTTCAAATTGTTTTAATTTGAAACATTTTGACTTAAAATAGTGTTCACTTGAAATTCTTTATAGAAATATTAGAATTTCAGGCAATTTATATTAAACTTTAAATATTTTTTTTTTAACTGTAGGTTTTATTTTTTTAAACACAAAATTGAAATTAATTATTGTGAAGCAAAATTAATTCCTATTTTTTCCTAGTAAAAAAAATAAAAAATTATTAGATTTAAAAACATATTTGAAAAGTTTTTTTCTAATAATGTAAACATGAGCTAGCCGAAACTGACAAAAAATTGGATCCATGTGATATCTATTCGAATATATTTTATATTTGTACCCATTTTAATACCTCTTTTTACCTTTTAAAGAGAGATTTGAAAGAATTTTTTCTAGAAATTTTTTTTTAATTAAATCTAGTAATTTCTTAAATTTTTATATCATTCATGTTTAAATTCTTAATAGTAGTTTTGTTAATTATTTGTATTAATTGTTGTCTTTACTATATTCTATTATAGAGGGAAAGGAAATAGTTTCACCTTATTTGGTGTTATTTACACTATGTTATTAATATTAATTGCTTTCCTCTATATTTCTTTTTCCTTGTTTTCTTGTCTTATCTTTTACATATAAAAGTAAAAACTAGAAAAGCATGAAAATAGATCAATATGGGTATGGGAGAGAATTGTCGAAAAGGTTAGGGATATATATATANTTTTTCATATGTCTATAATTTTTCTTTGTTTTATTCTTCATTTTGAACTTATATATATATATATATATGCAAAAAGAATAAAAAGAAAGTAGAGAAAACATGGGAAAAAATTAGAAAATAACGAAAAGAAGAAAAATTATGAAAATAAAATAACATTTAAGAACAATGAATTTTTAGCTGATATAATGGCCTTGAGATGACGAAAAGATTATATTTTTTTCTCCCGGATCTTTATTTATAGATATTTCTTTTTAAATTTTTTTGAATGTTATTTTATTTAATTTTCTTATTTTCATTATTCTGCAATTTTTCCCATGTTTTCTCAATATTTGTAGTGGAAATACATACTTTCAGAACTAAATAAATTAAGAGTGAATTTTAAAAAGAGTTAATTGAGTGGCTTTTTGTGACTTTTAACAGAATTTGGGGGGGGGGCGATAGAGTCTATTCAGAGATCGGAAGTGTCAATTCCCTCCTCTTTAAGTATCTCCGCTGTGGAGGGAGGGGGGGTATTATATGTCTTTTCACACACTGCATCATTGATGTGGTTTTATCAGTTTCCCTAGTTTACCAGTGTTTGCTCCCCCTTCCCACCATGATAATTCACCCCATCTCTCCCCATCATGTCTTTCCCTCCATCTTTTATCTCTCTCCCCCCTGTTCTGATTCTTTTTTTTTTAATCCATCACTCTTCCATAGTCAATATTTCTGGTCAATAAATAAAACGTGTCAGAAAAGTCATGACCAAGGCAGTGGTAAGCAAAAAGTTGACTAAATGAAGTTTTTAACAACAAATGAACTTTCAAACCAGAATTTTGACCTTTTATAAGAGTCGTTGAACTGGCGACCCAATTTTTGGGTTGACTAATGTTAAATTCTTGCCTTGTAATTTTGTACTCCCTCCAGAAGACAAGGAAACTCCTGGATCAAGTATAGAGAGAAATTTACCTTGGTGGAGGGCTTTTTTTATGCAACTGATCCGCATTTGCGTTAAATGGAGAGAAAGACCACGAGAACCTCCCACGGTTAGCCTGACGGCAAAGGGATTCCATGATCCGTCAACCCCATAGGATATTTTAAGTCAGAACCGTGGTCTGTTCAAACTGGATGCGGAATTCGTACTGACCATCCATCTCTGGGATTCGAACGCTCTGTCCTCCGAGCCTCTTATGAGGCAGGTAACGTCAAAAGATGTAAGACTTACCCCAATGTGTCTCTCAGGCAGGTACTGGAAGAAAGGTTTCCATTATTTTATCTATTATTTCAATACGGGGTGAAAAAATAGATTTCAATGAATTCAGCATTGGAGAAAATAGGCAAATACAGACACTAATAACGCTAAAATAATTCCAATGTTTGTGTACTTATTACTAATTGTTGCCCTTCTCGGTGACTTTACGTTGTTAGATTAAGAAAAAAAAAATGTATTTTGTAATTCACCCCATCAAAATAAATTTTAATTAAGCATCATCTGGAGTAATGTCGAGCATATTATGATATTTAAAATTTTCCACAACAGAGCTACTTTTTCCTGTACTTTCATCTTCCATTAAAAAGAAAGAAAAAACTGTTTCTTAATCATAAATTGTATATATATATATATATATATATTTTTTTAAATACATTTCTGAATTAAAAATATAATTATAGAAAAATTAAAAAACCCGGCTTTGCAATTTGTTTACAATTATACTAATTTAGCTTCGTGTTGAATGTAGTAGTTTTATAATTACGGTATAATTGCAACACACAAATTCTTTATTATGTACTTGACTTTAGGGAAATTCTAATTAATATATTAATATGTTCTTTCAATCTTTACAATGAAGGAAGCTTTTTTTTGTTTAACTAGACGAAATGCCACAAAGATCTAATTTTTCATCATTTCTATTTAATTTATTTTTACACTTTTACGTAAGCAGTTATACTCTTAATAATACATTTGTTTTAATTGATTTTATAGATGATTTAATTATTTATAATATACAAAATTAAACAATTTCGTAAAATTATGTTTACACCGAAAAATTAATCTTGCTTCGTAATCATGACGATAATATTAATTTTGAATATGTGGATTTGAGAATTAAAAAATAAATTATCTGCATTGTTGACTTATACGATAAAATGAAAGGTTTTAAATTTAATAAAGATAAACTGATTATATGGAATTCTAATGTTTTGGGAAATATTTATTTAGATAATATTTTTTTATTAAGTAAATGGAGTTTAAAAAATATACATTAATATTTATACAAAAAGAAACAAATAGACAAACTTCCAAAATTTGATATAAAAAAAACAACTAATGTAATTAAATTCTATATAAAGTCGTTGAGTTAATTATATACTACTTAATAGTTATACTACGTTATAACTATTAAGGAATTTATTTGAGAAAAAAAATCTTTGATATCGAAGTAGATACCATGATAAAAATTCTTCCAAAATAATGTCTAAGACTCTTCTAATATTTAGTAAAGAATATTTTCAATAAATGTTAATTTCTCTAAAATTATAATTCAAATTCGATTTTTCCTTAATTATAAACTTATCCAGTGTAATATAATTACCTCGCGTAAATCCAGATTCTTGTCAATCCAAGATAACTGACGAATACAATGTGGTTCTGTACTTCTGCAAGAACGTGCCATAAAATACATCCCCGTTCATGCCTTTATTTTCATATTTCATAATCTGGTAAGCTAGTTACGAAAATATTTTTAAATAATTTCTGCAATATGTCAGTAAATAAAAGGGCGCTTGAATTCACTACTAGCTTCATATATTTTATATTTTTTGTTTTTTTTCTATATTTTTCTTGAATTTTTTTAAAATTCAATTTTTGTGTGGTACTTTTCACTCTATTGTATTGATATATTTTGCTTTGGCTTTATTAATACAATATTAGAAAGCACTCTATTTTGCGGATATAATCGTGTGAGCTGAAGAAGAGATAACATCTTTCGATTATTTTGTTTTCCAAATTTTTAATTTTTATGCTTTGAATTTTTAATAACTTTTTAAAAGAATATTTTTTAGTATATTTCTTTTCTTCTTAAAAATCATTTCTTCCCTTGTTTTCTCTGAATTTTAATCTTTACATTTTTTTAATATATTATTCGTAATGATATAAATGATTACCTGGATTTAAGAAGTAATCAGCAAGCAATTTTTCAACAAACAAACAATTTGAAAATCAACTCTGAATGCAAAATGTGTGACACAATAAGAAGTAATA